AGCACGACCGCACACGTCGAGGGGCCATTTTGAACTGCCAATAAAAATTAATAAACTTACCATTTAGCTCTTAGTAACAGTTTAGAAACTTTTGGAGTATGGCACTTACACAAACCGTTCATTTAGAATTGCGAACTAGTTCACTTAGTTAATCAAGTGAACTAGTTCAGTGAACGAAATAGTTCGTGAACGACACAACTCTATTACATATATGTATATCCCGCATCCATATCTTATTCGTTGTGCTGATTATTACTATTTTTGTTGTTATTTTGCAGATATTTAGAGGAAGATCTAATAATCTATCGTGATAACCCACAAATTTTGAATTACAATGTAAAAGGAAAACCTAAGGTTGTAATTTACTGGTTAGCCCAATTAAAAGACCCTAACAAGGAACCTACATTATCCGATGAGCACACTGAAATTAAGTGGTTGTCGAAAGATGCAGCAAAAGATCTTGTTGGTCATAAGGATAATCAGGACATGATTGAAGAGTTCCACAAACTTATACTTAGCGTCTAAGGGCAACAACAAAAAGGATACATGAAGAAAAAAGAATACAAGATTGCGCATTCCTGGCGGCGAGTATTGATGCGAATTTAACCATATTTTAAATATCTTTTACTCGACGTATATATTAACAAAATCCTAAATAAACACCATTCAAAAATATATATATACATATATAAGAATTCGATTTTTACCGCTGTTTTCATTATATTTTGCCTGTTAGGGGGATGCAAAAATATTTTCATAGAAAACTGCACAATTTTTTCTTTCTTTTGATGTCATATGACTACCTTAATTAATGGGGTATAGAACAGGTAGTCTCCGCGTGGTGCACCCTGGATAACGCCAAATGGACTACGGCCTTTACGGTAGCGACCCTGGCATTGTCTTAGACCACGATTTCGATAACGTATTAGATTTGTCGATCCCTGAGCTGGTGGCTGCTGTATTCTGCTACCTGAGTATGCTGGGGTGACGCAGCAGAAATGGCTGGTGGGCTAATGCCGTGACTGCCTCCGTCTTGTTAAAACCCTGGCAGCTGTTATGTTTATTTTTTTTATATTAGTATTTTTAACTTTTGGCTTTTAAGCGAGCCACGCTAAAAGGATGATGGCCTCAAGGCCTATTTTCATTGATGAGACAAGTAAGAAAAAACGAGGCAATGCCGCCGATTCTTGATTCAAAACAAGTCTGTTTATTTCAGTGCACAAACACTGCTTTTATAATAAATTTTACATTTCTCTTTAAATCTAAGACACTCCCAATTTTAAGTTACTTTTCCAAAATTTTCATATTGTGACCAATCATAATTTATTATTTTGTAGTTTTGCATTTTCTAAATGTTCTTGTAGTAAAGTCTCATTGCTTTTCTTTTACTCTATTTAAATTTATATTGACTTCTCATATATTGAGAAATATCAATTGTGAAACCAATTGTTTCACAGTTGCTCTACAAAGTTCATCGTCTTGAGAAAATACAACACTACAAATGTCTTCACAAAAGTGACCCACATGTGCAAGCTGCAATATGATCGTTTCTACAAAGCAAGTGGCCGCTAACGCTTTGCCCAATTTGTGACATATATATGAGTCATAACTCTTTTTGCTTGCATTCTGAACGTTGTTAAGAACGTTATTATATAATATTGCAGTCACATGTGTGTTTACATTACTGACCTTACTAATTATTTGTAGACACACAACAGTACTTTCCAACTTCCGTCTCCGTTAACAGTTCAACCTAATTTTGCGGCGTGAGTTTTTTATACATACGCAACATGTTTTTCACATTTGATAAACCGAAATCAATTTGCGTGCGTGATTTCTCAGAGTTGCATTTCTGTAAAATTTTCAAATGTCAATTGAGCATAAACGTCAAATCGAAATGTCACGCAAGAAAAATCCTGGAATTTGAGTTAGCTTTTTACGAACGCCGTTCAATTCCGGTTAGTCAATGGTTTCAATAATTATTGATAGTCCCATATAAGTTGTGGTTGCATGAGACATTTTTGAGTCAATTGTCAGAGAACAGAGTACGGGATAAATTTCCAGTGAATTCTGGTAAAAATGGTAAGTTCGGACTCATACGGGATCACTACTATTAATATACACAACTATCAATATATTGCGAGGGCAAAAAAAATACGTAAGCGCAAAAAATTACCGTTATCCTACAGATATGAAATTGGAATAGTCTGCATTACAGAGCTTGACTACACAATAGTTATACTTCTTCTTCTTATTATTTGGCGCTGTAACCGCCTAAGCGATTTTGGCCGAGTTCAACAAATCACGCCAGTCGTTTCTTTTCTGTGCCTACTGAAGCCAATTGGAAATGCCAAGTGAAGCCAAGTCCTCCACCTGGTCTTTCCTTCGCAGTGGGGGCTTCCCTTTTCCTCTGCTACCACCAGCGGGTTCTGAGTGGAATACTTTCAGAGCTGGAGCGTCGGTGTCCATTCGAACGACATGGCCAAACCAGCGCAGTCGCTGTATTTTAATTCGCTGCACTATGTTCATGTCGTTGTAAAGCTCACTAGCCGTCGCCAACGCGTAAAGGCCCGTAAATCTCCCGCAAAATCTATCTCTCGAAAACTCCAAGAGCCGCCTCATCGGATGTTGCCATTGTCCAAGCTTCTGCGTCATATACCAGCACGGGCATGATGAGTGACTTATAGAGCGTGGGCTTCGTACGTCAAGACAGGACTTTACTCCTGGATTTCCTACTCAGTCCAAAGTAGCACTTGTTGGCAATAGTGATTCTGCGTTGGCTTTCCATGCTGACCATATTATCGGTGTTAAGGCTAGTTCCCAAGTAAACGAAATTCTCTACTTTCTTGAAATTATAACTGTCATCAGTGTCGTAGGTGCCAAGGCGCGAATGAGCTGACGGTTTGTTTGATGACAGGAGATACTTGGTCTTACCTTCGTTTATCACCAGACCCATTCGCTTTGCTTCCTTATCCAATTTGGAGAAGGTAGAGCAGACTTCGCGGTTTTTGTTACCGCTGGTGTCGATGTCATCACATAAGCCAGCAACTGCACGTCCTTGTAGTAAATTGTTCCTGAGTGGTTCAGCTAATAATAATAATAATAGTAGATTGGCACGTACACATAAGTTAGTGTTTGGCCGAGCCTCTCCTCCGACTTGTGGCGTGCTCCTTGATGTTGTCACACAAATTTAGTAATTAATTTATTATATTCTCCACAAATCACATGAAAGGGAGTCGACCTGTCTGAAACCCCGTTTGGGGGCGAACGGCTCGGAGAAGTCGCTCCCAATTCTGACGGAGCTGGTGGTATTGCTCAACGTCATTTTAC